GCGCTCACTCAGATCTGTGGATAGCATGCACGTCATCTTAGCCACATCGATCTCATATCAATTCCACAGGTCCTCGAGTCCTCTCTGGTCATCTCTGATCTGCATTAGTCGTCGGTCGCTGTCACTGTTTACCTCTCATCCTCAATCCTTGCAGCCTGATGCCTCCGGCAGAAACCAGGCCTTGAGTTCAGAAAGCTGCTGGAAAACTCGCGTGGCCAAATCTTTGTCCTCACTTTTGTCTGGATGCCACCGTAAGCACAAAGAACGCCTTAGAAAACCGAACGAACAGATTGGAGACCTGGATAAATTTCCATCCCTTCAACTGACTGTCTAACGCAAAGGGGCCATCACAAAACCCGGACCCTACAATCACAACAATTAAACATCGGCTCATCCACCAAACAAACTAAGTCGAGCGCCAAATCCTCTTCCTCGACTCCAGTGATTCACCACGCTTCTGCATCAACTCTTGGAGGGGGGACGGCGCATCTGCAGCGGATGAAGGCTTTGCAAAATCCGCTCCTTCAGGCTTGCGCCGTCCCCGCACACCCGGACGGTCTGCTTCGGTGCCTCTTTCTTGCCCACTCTGTACGTGAGGTTTTTTGGGCACACGCCATGTTCCTCGACTGCCTCTGGCTTCATCACCTGCTTCTTTTGCAGCGTCCTTTTGCCGCTGCTGATTCCGGGAAAAGTCTTCAAACCATACTTGCTGCGCATGTCTTCTTGCAGCTGCATCGTTCTGTTCTTGATGAATTTCTGCTAGAAGCTTCTCACGTTCCACAGCAGCAGCAGTTTCCAACTCTTTCAGTTTGCGCTGGTGTTCAAGACGCCGAGAGGCTTCTCGCTCTTCAAAAGCTTGGTCAGAGAACGGCTCAAACTGCTCAAGGTTCTCGACTTTCTCACGGGGCATCGATGGCATTGGCTTGAAAACCTTGGCACCCTGGCGCAGTGTCCGCAAGCCTTCTGCCTGCTTCTGGAGTCGTCGAGCGGCCTCCAGCAGTTGTGCGGCTCCATCGCTTGTGTTGGGCTTCTCATCTTGCTCAGGCTCCGTCCCCGAAAGCAATGATTCAAAAAAGTCTAAAGCCTCTTGGGTGGGCTTGTGGTCTAACGTCGGTTGGTGATTCTTGTGCAAAAGTTGCCGGCGTCGTTCTTCAAGAAAGCTGGGAATGCTCTGCCAACGGTGCCAGGTAGACTTGTATTCGTCACCATGACAACTTTTGGCGTTGCAAGGTGGATAATGTTGGAATTTCTGACACCGCACTTGTTCACATTCAATACCTAGCTGCCTCCGCCGGTTCGTGTTTGGGCTGGCAGGTGACTCAGAAATGTCAAACGATCTCCCTCCAGAGCTCAAGCCGTCCGCCATACCATCGCATGACTCCGCGCGTAAAAAAACATATCCAAACTCAAACACCATGATAATGACGGTATTGCAGACGAGGTGAAGTTTGCCCAGCTCATAAGGCAGCATCTTCGTGTCAATGTATGTTGTGTAGCAGGTGCGACGCCGCAGCATGTTAAAGGCTCGGAAAATCAGAAACCGCTATCTCAGTAGATGATATGAGCAAACTGCAGACTATCGCTGTGTCTCTCGCTGCTTCACTCTAATTATCATGTTTTGTGCACGTGTGAAGCTGAGAGCAACGGCAGTCTCCGATCATGCTGAAGGCTGAAGGAGTCTACTTACTTGCTCTTGCAAAATCTGGCACTCCAACCTGCAGCTGTCGAAACGCTGCCCCGTAGTCCTCGTGGCAAGCACTACCGATCAAAGAGCGTGCCAAATTCTGACATCCAATCACATGGACCGTGCAACTGAAGACCCAAAGGACCCAAAGGACCCATAGCCACGAGGATCTGCTTTACGTCGCAAACTCGACTCCGAACGGTATCACAATTGAACAATCCACCGGCTTTGGTTGGGTGCAGGTTTGTCTCAGAGACTTGATGGGGAGAAGCCCTGAGAGCGGCTCCTCCCAGCCAAAGTCATAGTCCCAGGTCCAATTTGAATCATTCGTATCATTCCTGAGCGATCACGCGAAATCATTCCTTCGAACGGGAATTGAAACAGGTGAAAATACTATTTATATAAGCGCATTGAGTCCGCGACGAAATGTTCACCTCCAACTGTAGGGTGGACTTCGAAGACCAAAGATTCAATTGTGCAACAGAACAAACCGATCCAACGAAGAGTCTGACAACTACCTCATCAGGCGGAAATGGGAACAGGTCTGTCATGTCCACCTCGAGGCAAACTGCACCATGACATTTGAGCAATTGATGTAGATGTCATGAGAGGCAAGCCAAGCTCAAACACTCAAGAACCAGCACATGTCACAAATCCAAGACAAATCCAGAAAGCGAAGCAAAACCAACAAGGGAAGAAGGGGAAATGGCAATGCAATTGTTGAGTCGTTTAACTGACTCAGGTGACTGCAACATTGTCCCCTGCATTTGTAGGCCTACAGCATCTGCCCGGATGTTTAAGAAACGGTTCTTTTCCATGCAAAGCAGTTCCATGCCTCAACGCAGAACACCAACAGACCTCATGTTCCAGGTCGCAACGGCATGAAAAGCACAGACCCAGTCACTTTGGCTCTGGCTCTGTAGACCCCAGCTGTAGTAGTTGCAAGATCAGACCTCAGCAAAGAGAAGGGTCCCTTACAGTACTTTCGTGCTTTCATAGCCCATCCTTTCCGCAGAACCTCATGTTCCTCCCTTGCCCCAAGGGGCCATGCCAAACCAAAGATGCGTTGTCACCCGTTGGGTCGACACCGGGCCCCAGTGGTGCCTCGGCAAAACATGTCTTTCTGCAAGGTCTTGTCAACACACGTGGCACACTTTGCCTGAGTCTATGTATTTGTAATTCTCTCGGACTGTCACCATTCAGAAACATGTCGATCTGCGCTCTAGTGACGCTAGTTGGGGTCTTCTTCTTACCACTGCTCAAACAGTTTTGTATGTCAAACGTGCCAGCAGTCTCAGAAAGCATCACAGCGTCCATGCCATAAAACCAGGACAGACGAAGTTGCCCTGATCTCCGGAAGGTAGCCACTTGCATCTTGAACTTCCATGGAGCCGACCTGGCTACAAACAACCATGTTTTGAGACATCACCACGCCAAGAACGTGCCGAGAAGGCAGTACTTGGCTGTCCAAGAGAAGCGACGAATTGAATTCCAGGCTTCACCGATGCAGCAGCTGCTCCAACACCAGAACCAAGAAAGGCCTTTTGGCATGCTGTAGCAGCGTGGGGTGCACAATGACTCATGTCAATAGCATGGCAGCCCAAACGGTTCACGAAAGTGCTTCGGAAGGATGCTGAAAAAAGAAATGAAGCTGAACCTGACTTGAGAGTGCTGATCCAGGCCCACCGCACCTCTCACAGCAAAATATGTTGAAACCTACTGTGTCTCCAATGCTTTGTGCACTCGTTGCGTCCCCGCAATTGCTTTTCCAATAGAATTTAGAAGTCTCAAAGGCTTGGGCGAAACATCTTCATCCACAACTCGGATTCGGTCAAAGTCCACCTACATAGGAGTGACATGGAGTGACGCAAGGCCAAGAAGTGGGCTGTCTATAAATTGCACACCTCCAAGAAGTAGCCTTGAACATTCAGCAGAAAACGATCAAGCACCTCAAGCAAGAGAAATCGTGAGACGCGTAGATAGATAGATGTTGATAGCCTGAGCATCTCACATATGGAGTTCGAGTGCTTTCGGGGTCCTGCCAAGCCCGTTGAGTCCCACCATCATGGGTGAACAAGGGTATTGGCTCCTGCTCTAGCATTCCGTCAGTCCCTAGCAGTTCCACTGGACCAACCTCGGCTGTACCGCAAATCAATCGAGCTGACCCCAACCCGGCAAGACTGAGGCACAAACCACATGCAAAGGACCACCTGGAGTAGTCACCGTTGGTCACTGCATTGATCCGGGCAACGTTCGAACTCACTGTTGGAAAAAACGATTGAAAACAGCTAAAGAAAACAGAAAACTCGAGAACTTCAGATTTCAGAAACGCACATACCGTTGGCCCACCTGACCTATCCAAACATTCTTGCAAGCAGCATCCTTAAACAGTTTAAGCGTATGCATGTTGGTTTTTTGATACTCAAACATCACCACTCAACTTTTGCGGAAGGTCCACGAGGCCAGCGGGTGGGAGACCAATGTTTGTGTTTGCACCCTTGCAACAACCTCACACAAGTGGAGGAAAACTCTGGCACACATCGTTTCTATTGAGGTATTGCAGAAGTTCCAACAACCAACCCCAAAAAAAACAGCCTACCGTAAAGCACTAAGGCTCAGTGCTTTACGGTCCAATATGGTCCAATCCAATAAAAACTGCATTGTTTAGCAGCCCCACGCAACTCATTGTTGGCAAGGTCCTCATGCCTTAAAAAACCGAACATGCGGAATGATCCCTTCTCTGCCCCTGCGATTTGCTTTGCTCTTGCCTGTGTCTGACACTTTTTCAACACAAGCACTGGCCAGTTAAGAGCAAAGACTCTGAACTCGGCTGGCCCGCCGTATTTTTTGCGATTTTGATGCGACTATGACATGGGGCCTCAACCCTCCCAGCCGGAGACAACCATGTGCCTTGACAAAATACGACACTCCCAAGATGACAAAAAACCGGAAAACACGGAGACAAAGGAAAGGATAAATAAAAAACCAAATGGGGACAAAAGAACGGACCGGCAAAGCTCCTGCGCACTTCGGAATCTCAAGGGTGCTTCGGCGGCGACGCACTCAAAAAAGTTTTCGCCGCTGCTGCTGCTGCTGCTGCTGCTTCGACTTTTTACCTTCTCCTACTGCATCGCTTTCTCCTGCCTTCTCTTTCGCCTTCCTTCTTTTTCTCTTCCCTTGCTTGCGCTTCTTTGCTTGTGTTTTTCTCTTCTTGGATGTTTCTTCATCTTGTATTTCTTCTTCTTCTTCTTCGTGGCCGTGGCCGTGGCCATGGCTGTGGCCGTGGCCGGCTGGCCGGAAACAAAAACTATTGGAGAGTTGTCAGCTGTACACAAAGTGGGCGCAGCAGCTGTGATCTTTTCTCAGCTTTTCAGTGCAGTTGGCAGTTTGCAGTCTGGAGAGCACAGTGGAGTAATTTCTTAACACAAGCAAGCAAACAAACAAATTTTTCACGCACTTTAACTACTTCGCCCTGTTCTTGATTGCTTTTTGAACCGGCCTCAGTCTTCAAGCCATAAGTGCACACGCAAGTATAGTGTACAAGCGAATAATGCCTCAAGTGCACAAGTCAGCGCTCGCCAAAACACTCGTCGTAGCTTCTAACGTGAGTTCACATCGGAGCCACCCCCCTTCTTGGCTTTCCGATGACGGTGGCGAAGCAAGAAGCTCTTGAGTTGCAGCCACTCTCTGTCATCTGCTGCGCGCCTGCAACTCCACTGAGCTTCTTCGGCAAGCTTTGCACTTCTGAAATCGGTTGGCGCGACACTTCATGGCAAGAAACGCTAAAGAAACTTCGCGGACTTTGGCTGGCCAGCACAAAGACAACGCAGACTAAAACGAAAACCACACATCGTCCTTGGGTTTAGAAACCCCTGCAGCCCCTGCAGATCAAACCGAGAAAAGTAATTACCCCAGCTGACAACCCCAGTAGCAAAGCATCCGCCACGGTCTGGCACATGTCTTCTGCCGCGCGTTGTTCCTTGCGCCGCTTTTCACACAGGGCATACCGAGGACAATTTTCAACAAAAGCAACAGTCAAACGCAAAGCCACACAAACCAATTCAATATCCAAGCAACACGTGTGCTCCATAGTCCATGAAGCACTTAAGGAATGTTTGCCGATGAGCGCGTGGAAAGATTTGCGCAAGTTCTATTCGGACAAAATGACAAGGACATAAGTTAAGACAGTACCATCACCAAATGAAAAAGAAAATGTATTGGAGGACGGTCGCATCAGTTGTCAGAAAGACCGTCCTTTAAGTTCTGGCCCCAGGAAGCATTCAGGCACGCAAACGCAAAGAGCCATCTTTGAAAGTCTACAGAACAAGCACTAGGCAGTGGATGGCAATCTTCCTCCTGGGTTGACTCAGACGAACACCGATTTGGAGCACGCATTTCTTGCATCATGGCCCCGCGCCCGGCCAACCGAAGTGGAAAATTGCCACAAGCGATGCGCACACAGGCGCCAACACATGACTTACGCACGAACGATGCAAGAAGCGCAGCGTCAGATGCAGAATTTGCATGTTCGTTCCCAAACGAAAATGGTACCCCTTTCCCCTGGCTAAAGCTAGACAGCAATGAACGCATAGTCAAATGTGGTCGCGCTGTGAATTACACCAGCATAGACCCAGACAGCCAGGCAGAATCCCACGACCCGTTGACATGCGACTGGCTGGAACAAAAATGTGCGCAGCCTGCACAGCCAGCTTACGGCGCCTGCACAGCGCGCACAATCAGCTGACACCAGCACCGGTGCGCTTTTCCAGCTGACACCAGCGCCGGTGCGGATGTAAGAAGATGACAACACCGGCAGCGGCGCCAGCGCCCGACCAGCGCCGCCGCCCGTCTTAAACGCGAACTCAGCCAGCTCACAGCACCAGCAGGACCACAACACCAGCACCAGCACCGACGCCCTTTCGAAAGCGGGCTCAGCCAGCTCATTCTTATTTGCAGCAAGAACCCCATAGCTATCCCAATTATTGGTGAATAATGTGACTAACAACGTATGATCCTGCGCATATAAGTTTATGCGCACAAAAGTATGCGCACAAACGGCAAAGCCCGTAGGCTTCACTCGCCCAAGGTCAAGCAGTATGGTGTATATTGTGTATGTAGCATGCTGAAACACGCTGAAACAATGGTCGGTTGAGAGCCTGACGTTGCGCATAGAACATTGTACGTGCAAAATAAGTGTGGGCGCAAACAGTACAGCCCTTGACACAGCTGTCGGCCAAAACAGAACCTGAAGAGCGTAAAGATCCCACAGCGCTAATAGACAAAGAACGCTCAAGCGACAACACCGTATGATGATGTTGCGTGCATAAGTTCATGCGGCCCATGACTGCTGGCACTTCATTGTCAGAAGCGGCGCTTGGTCGCCCTTCACTGCTGCAAGCGGCGGTTTGTTACCCTTCACTGTCAGAAGCGGCGGTTGTTATCACTTCACTGTCAGAAGCGGGCACCAGCACCGAGCACCGGCACGCCAGCTCACGGCGTCCAGCACCAGCACCCGTATACCCAGCACCAGCGCCCGGCACCCGCCCGCCACCCAGCACCCGGCACCCTGTCTCCACCACACGCACAGCCAGCACCCAGCACCGGCGCCCCGTCTCCACCACGCGCACTGCCAGCTCACAGCACCGGCACCGGCGCCCGCTGTCTCTACCACGCGCACTGCCAGCACCACCGGCGCTGTCTCCAACGCGCAAACCCAGCAGCATGCGCCGGCACCCGGCAAGCACCAGCGCCAGCAACCTGTCTCCACCACGTGCTCACAGCACCAGCAACCTGTCTCCACCACGTGCACAGCCAGC